TTGGACAGGATCAAGCTTGATTACATGAGAAGGATCAGGGATGTATTTTCTAAGTTAAGACACATGGAAGACTGGATGTAGATTTAAAAAGCTTTGTGGTAAGGCTATTTGATAAGATATAAAGCCAATTCTTTGCAGAATTTCAAAGGATCCACTAAACTTAGGCGACAACTGTTTGGATTTCAAAGCTTTACCGACTCTAATGGTGGGTAAAACCTTCAAAAACACATGATCTCCCACTTGAAATTCTAAAGGCTTCCTTCGACCATCATAGTAACTCTTCTGTCTATCTTGAGAAACTTTGATATTTTCCCTAATCATCTTGATTTGATCATTCTGCCTTTGAACTAAGTCAGGTGCGTATAGAATTGTTTCTCCAAACTCGTACCAACACAAAGACATTCTACACTATATTTTGTACAATGCCTTGTATGGTGCCATCCCAATGCTAGCGTGATAAGTGTTGTTGTAAATGAATTCTACCAAAGGTAGACATTCATCCCAAGCTCTTTGTTGCTCCATTACGCAGGCTCATAAAAATTCTTCAAGAGTTTGGATGGTTTGCTCTATTTGTCCATTGGACTGAGGATGATATGTTGAACTAAGTTTTAACTTAGTCCCTAATTATCTTTGCAAAATTTTCCATAATTTGGAAGTAAATCTCAAGTCTCGGTCAAACACGATGCTTATAGGCACTCCATGTAGCCTAACTATCTCCTTAAAATACAATTATGTTACTTTTTCCATCTTGTACTTTATGTCGATTGGAAGAAAATGATCAGTCTTGATTAGTCTATCCATAACCACTCATATTGTGTCATGATTCTATTTTGTCCTCAGCAAACTGGACACGAAGTCTGATACATGCAAATTGGATTGAAATTATAGCAGTATTTTTTTTCCCGTAAAATTCCTAACTAACAAGTATACTAAATAGTTATAGTAAGTAATAAAATTTAGAAATCAATATGAGTCCTAAGTATCATCCACAAGGATCTTATTTTCAATTACCAATTCACAATTCAACAATTATTTGAGCCACACAATTCATTTAGAAGATTTGTAAACATGTAAAAGTAAGGAATAAAAACAATGAAAGGTGACAATTGTGCTATAAAAATAGAATACGAAATTTGTATTAAAAAGGCTATATAAAAAATAGTTAGGAATCACTTCACCAGATTAGCTTTGGACAAATTAGCCTTGGGCGTAGCTACTCTAAATGCTTGGAGTGAACACGCGCAAGGTTCTATCATAATTTCTACTGTTGGAGTGTTCACTTTTACCACCTAGAGTTGCTACTCACTTGCTCTTTATGGATTTCTTCTTCAAAGTGTTAACTCTATGTGCTTAAAGTGGGTACGCCTAACACATAACACTTAATTCTTCATCTTTTAAGCTCAATTCCTCTACTTTCTTCTCTTCAATCGTCAACTTAAACATTTTCAGCTCAAGCTTCTCCACAGGAATTAAATCTTTTTAAGTCAAATTGTTCAGAATTAGAATAAAATCTAAAATTTTCAACTATTTACACAACTAAGAATATTGATGCAATTTTTATGGTGTTTCTAAGTTTATTTGACACTTTACTACTTATTTATTAACAAAAACTATACTAAAAATATAGTAAAATGTGGATTTATCAAAGTCCACGGAAATGCTATCCTATTTTCACTTAAGAATTTCCAGTGGTTGCAATTCTCCTGGCATACGTTGGTGCTCTGTTTCTTACTTCCGACAGGTTAGACATTTCGCCACATACTCTGCCACCTCTTTCTTCATCCCATACCACCAAAAGTTTTTCAAAAATCTTCGTTGTCCCCATGTGGAAACTCAACTTATTTTTGTGGGCTTCCTCCAAAATCATCTATTTCAGCCCTGCATTCTGAGGGATACACACTTTATCCTTGAATATTATTAATCCATTTGCATCACATTGAAATTCCATGTCCTTGCCTTCATCCCTTTGTTGTATCATCTCTTGTAAATATGAATCTTCTTGTTGCTCAACTCGAACTTGTTCTAGAAAGTCATTGCTGATCTTCAAGGTTCCCAAATAAGGGTTATGGGGTCGTAACTTTATCACCAAGTTCAAATCTCTAAATTCTTTAATTAACTTCCATTCCTTTACCATCATGGCGGAAATATGCAAACTTTCTACTTAACGCGTTTGCAACTACATTTGCTTCCTTAGGGTGGTAGGACAATGTGAAGTCACAATCTTTCAAAAATTTCATTCACATCCGTTGTCGCATGTTCAGCTCTTTTTGGTTGAACAAGTATTTCAAACTCTTATGGTCATTGAAGACCTCGAATTTTACTCCAAAAAGGTAGTGTCTCCATATCTTTAATGCAAAGATCACTATTGCTAGCTCCCAATCATGTGTGTGGAGTTAACTTCATGTGGTCATAATTGCCTAGAAGCATGCACAATTACTCTCCCATCTTTGGTTGAGGATCTGGCAGAATTAATATAGGGACTGATGTCAATCTCTCCTTCAACTTTTGAAAACTTACTTCATATGTTTCATTCCATTCAAATTCTTTCCCTTTCTGGTCAGCTTCATCAGAGGCAATACTATCCTAGAAAATCTTTCAATGAATTTTCTATAATAGCCAGCGAATCCTAACAAGCTTTGAACTTCTGTCGGAGTTGTCGGTCTTGACCATTGAGCCATTGCTTCTACCATAGTTGGATCTACCATGATTCCTTCCTTAGACACTACATGTCTTAGAAATTATATTTACAATAAAAAGAACTCACATTTTGAAAACTTTGGGTACAATTGTCTTTCACTTAAAATTTGCAGAATAATCCTTAGGTGTTTGGCATGTTCTTCGTGGCCCTTTAAATATATCAAAATGTCATTTATAAATACCACCACGAATTGGTCAAGGTGTTGATAGAAGATTCAATTCAAGTAATCCATGAATACTGCCAGAGCATTGGTCACACTAAAAGGCATAGCTAAGTATTCGTAGTGGTCGTAGTGGGTTCTAAATGTAGTTTTTGGAATATCTTCACTCTTCACACATATTATATGATAGCCTGATCAGAGGTCGATCTTCAAGAATACATATGTCTCTTGTAGTTGATCCATTAGATCATTTATCCTGGGAAGAGGATATTTATTCTTGATTGTCACCTTGTTCAGTTAGCGATAGTCCACGTACATCCTTATACTCCCGTCTTTCTTTTTTACCAATAGTTCAGGTGTAACGCCCCGAATTTCAGTAATATTATTTATTGTATTTATATAAATCTAAATGCATATATGTGTGTGTATTGTGTGTATGCATAACTGGATAGGGTTGAAATGGGTTAAGTGCCTAAGTGCAAGGCGTGATACTAGGCTGTTCTTGCTACAGCAAGAGGACTCTCACTGTAGCGAGAACGCCCTGGGAGAAAGGACTGAAACTGTCACCTTCTCGCTGTAGCGAGAAAGAGACAGTTTAGGGTGTATTTTTGGGTGCAGTCTCGCTATAGCGAGATTCTGCAGAAACTAGAGTGCAGTTTTCTCTGGTTTTTCGCTGTAGCGAGAGGGTGTGTCGCTGCAGCGAGGTATCTCGCTGCAGTAAGAGTGTCGCGACCAGAAAAGGATTTAAAGGGGGTAAGGGCTCAGGGAGAGTTATTTCTCCCTCTCCCTTCGAAATTCCTTTGATCCTCTCGTTCCCAAAGCCTTATTCCACCGATTAATTGCCTCAGAAGTCGTTCGGGAGCTTGATTGAAGGTTGAATCCATGTGGGGAACGCTTGGAGGTAAGTTTTAATGGTTAGGGTTTCAATTTTTCATCGCCTTTCTCTGTTTTCGTGGTTCCCCTGGGTTCTCATTGAGTTTCTCCATGTGTTTAGGAAGAAATTTGTGAAGGGAAGCACTTCTTGATGGATTTAGCATGTGGGCCTTCAATCCAAGGTAAGGGGGGACTCTATCCTACTCTTTTGTGCATGAATTGTTGTTATTTTGCTTAATATTGTGTTGTGACTAAGTTAGAGGGTAGGAAATTGCTGAGAAATGTAATGTGGACCATGTACCGTGATGTGTGAACATTATGTGTGTTGACCTGAAATTGATGGATTGTATGTAAATGTTGTATGATAGAATGAGTGCATGCATGCTGAGTGTTGTGAATGGGTATGGACACTTGTGCCGTGTATTTGAATAAATATTGTGAAAATGTGGGCCCAAGGGCCGTGTAATATGAACGATAATTGTAGCTTGCGTGTCGTGTGCTGTGAATTGAATATAGGTTGTGTGCCGTGTGTAAGCATGATTACTACATGCATGAATGAAAATGTGTGAATGGGTGTATTAGCGCTGTTGTAATGTGCTGTGAATGGTTCAGGGATACACTGAAGGTGTGGAATATGAGGACGATAGAAATACCTTAGGGAAGAGACAGTAGTGGTGATACCGACTGTGGAACGGGTGCACCACGGGCCACACACTCTCTTCCTGACTAGACCTTTGACTGTTACCTTTGTTGAGCGACCTGTAATTGCCCACATGGTATCCGTGAGGCGGGGGTAACTGGCGACCATTCATGGTGAAAATTTATGATCACAGTGCCACAGTGAGTGTGGCTGGCGTGCATGTGCATGAGTTTATGTGTTGTACTTATGGATGTGAAATGCTGTCGATGTCGTGAGTGCATCGGTGTTAAATTGACCTGAGCTGTGTGATAATGCTGCTTATGATTGTGTTTATTTAATGTATTGGAAATGTTCTGAAGGTGAGACTCTACGTTGATTGTGTGTTTTTGGGTAGTGTAGAGTACTCACCCTTACATTCATTTTTCAGGTAATCAAGACGATCAGCATCGGACTCAGTGAAGGGATAGATGGACTGCTATAGGACATAACTTTTATTTTGAAATTGTTGTAACTAAACTAGTCTTGTAGCAGTCATTTGATATTAATTTGTAACCCTTCCCTTATTTCGAAGTATTTTATGAAAATTGGTTATTCTAATTGGTGAAATTATTATTAAATCAAAATTAAATTTAAGGTGTTACATCAGACGCTTCCCAAGGTGATACACTGGGTATCGCAAATTGCCTTTCCAACAAGTTTTCTACTTGCTTCTTTACTTCAACTAATTCAATTGGCGACATTCGATAAGGTGTAATGGAGACTGGGCTTGCTTCTGGCATGAGATCAATTATGAACTCAATCTCCCTTTCTAGTGATAATTCGGTCACATCCTTTGAGAAAACCTCTAAGAATTCATTCACCACTGCTATGCTCTCCACCTTCCTACTTCTTTCTACCTCAATAAAGAATAACACCATAAAGGCCTTGGCATTGTTCATGCTCCTTGAGTCACTCCCGCTTAGGAATCTAGAATCTCCCGATACCTTAGCATCGAAAATTAGTGTTTTCTCTTTACAGTTAAGAAGGATATGATTGGATGACAACCAATCCATTCCTAACACAATGTCTAGCTAGGAAAAGGGTAGGCAAATCAAATCTACCAAAAAATTTCTATCATGAATAATTACAGAACAGCCTAAACATACATGTGAAGTCACAACAAGTTGATCTGTGGGAGTAGATACTACAACAGTACAAGGCAAGGAAGAAACAGGTAATTTAAGACAACTTATACAATCCAAAGAGACAAAAGGATGTGTAGAACTAGAGTCAAATAGAACATCAACAAATTTGTCTTTTAGAATACATTTATCTCGAATGAGGTCATCAGATTTTGTTGCTTCAGAGCCAGTCATGGCAAACACCTTGCCTTGAACATTGGACTTTGATCCACCACTGCCCTTAGGTGATGACTTGTTGCTTCCACTGATACTTTCGCTCCTTTGGGGTGCAAACCAATAAGCATTGGTTAGATGCCCCATCTTTCCACAATGGCCACAGACAGTAGTTGGCTGAGGGCAATTCTTGATCATATGAGGTCTTCCACATCAAAAGCACTTCAATGGTTCTCGAGGAACGTTGAAGTTGTAGCTACCTCCTCTACGAGGTGCAGTCCCACTCGCCTAAGATTGGGCTAGACCTAAATAGGGTCTCCTCTAGAATCTTGGAGGTCTTTTGTCTTGCCTCACTGATCCCCTAACTCTATTATCTACAGACTTTTCCTTTGAATTGACTTCATAAACCCGACACTTACTCACCAAGGTAGGAAGGTCCATTACTTGGAATATGCTAACAGCCATGCATATATCAGCTCTTAGCCCATTCTCGAATTGGGCGTATAGATCTTCATTGCCACTTTCATGCATGAAAGTGGGGCCAATATTTCATTAACTCATAAAATTTGACAGCATGCTCCCTTACTAACATGTTTCCTTGTTTCAACTTAAGGAACTCCTTGGCTTTCTACATTTGCAGGTCTCTCAGAAAATAGTTTCCTAAGAAGCAAATTTTGAATGCCTTCCAAGAGATGTATCCATCTTCTTAAGGTAGAGTTTGGCTGGCAAATCTCCACTAGTCCTTTTGCCTCTCCATTCAACATATAAGTGGCATAACCCACTTTATGTTCTTCGTGGTAGCTCATTGCGCTGAAAATATTTTCTATATCTACAATCCACCTTTGGGCTCCTTCAAGGTCAAACTTCCTCTCCAACTTCAGAGTTATGCTTTATGAAAGACGATAGTCTCTTGTACTCTGCTACTTCAGCATCCTAGTTTTGTACTAGAGTTTCTAGCACTCGTGTCATGCGATTCATAATTTCATTTGTAACTCTTACGAGTCTACCTTTACCAGCCATGATTCTATATTAGAAGAAGTCAATCAAACTCATCAACAACTATTATTCATGCCAGTGCACATATACAATCAAGGCAAACAAGTCACACACATCCCTATTTGAAGAACCAAACAGGCTATTCTAGCCAATTAACTCATATTCTTGTTAAACAAGAATATAAGAGCATATAGCAGAAACAAACTAGTTCAATACCCCAATCCAATTTGGAAGATCTGCTCTGATACCAAATTATAACACAGTAAGGAAGGAAAATTTTGAAATTGAAAAGAGGGAAACTAAATTAATTCATTTGCTCACAGAACATTCAGAAATATAAAACTTTCATTTAATATGCTCATATTTATAAAAATTTAAAATAATAAAGCAATAGGACACAAATGAATTTAAGTGAAAAGTTGAAATAACATTAATATACATTGTTATCATTTAGAAAATATAACTTTAAAAATACTTTAGAACTCATCTACATCATTTATAAAATACAAAATATGACAAGTCCTAGTGAGTAGTGTATCCACCCCAAAAGACTGTAAAAGATCCTAGTCATCTTCCCCAAGCCATCTTTTTATCTTTGCAAGATCCTTGGAATCGAGGTCCTCATCTGACTTGAGATAATGATCACTAGAATCAGTAGTGGCCTCAACACCTGTGACTCGCTCAAAAGTTATAGTTGGTCTTCTAAGATGGCCATTATCATTATATGTAAATAGATAGGTCACTGCTGTCAGAGTCCTAACTGTATCTCTATAAATATATAGATATAGGATATGGTGAATCCTATTATTTACAGGAAAATCTAAGAACATTCTGTAATATAATTTTATTTCCAACATGATAATATGGCGAGGTATATCATCAGCATGTACAGCCAACTTAAAATAACATGTTCTTTGATACTCGTTAAATACATAATTTAACCTATATTGTACAGAATTATCTATCAGTCTAATCCTCTCTCAGGGTGCTATCATCTTGGTTCCCTGAAAATTTTTTGTAAGGATGAACCTTTCTTCTTATTACCAAACATGTATTCATAACAATCAAGAAGCACAAATAAGGACAAATACATTAATCCATCAGACATTACAATTTATGTTTATATGCATACAATGATTAACATTTATTTAATTTATCACATTTCTTTCCTATTAGTACTTTGGGTTCTCATTTCACATTTTCACTGCCCCTAGGATCCCTTGAGGCCTTCCTTAGCATTGATAGTTGCTGGATAGCCATAGTTACACTGATACAACATGTGCCCACTCAACCTTTTTTAGCAAAAGCATGATCAGAAGTTTATGTCAAGAAATGAGTGTGAGGTCTATGATGCTTTTACTCTTAGTTGTTATATGTAATTCAAGAAGACCATCCACAACCCTTATTTTTCTAACATTTCTCAAATTACCTCCAACTTCCACACTCCTAGTGTATCTTTGAACTTTTTCCACACTTGTCCTTATTGTTTTTCTTTTTCATTCCACTTTCCTCTCTCATTCCACTTCTCTTTTCATTTTTCTCATCAAAACATAACTTGATATCTCCATGTTAATATTTTGTTCATCCTTTGATCTTTCTATTTTATTCAAGTACATTAACTATATCTTGTACCAATCAAACATTTCCGGAGGTTGGTCATCCCCAAACTCAGTCGGCAACATACATATATATATGCTTAAAATAAAGATCATTCAAATCATCAGATACAAAAAAACATGTTTCAATCTAACATATATTCATAATCATGCATCACACCATGACATTTTCATGAATACAAATATACCATGTTTTCAGCAATGAGACAAAGCTCTCTTTACCTCAAATGAAAGTTTAGAAAAGGATTTGTGAAGGATCTTACTTAAAAAGCTGAAATCTTTCTAAATATCACAAGAGATTCTTTTAGAGGTGAGAAAACAAGAATATACTAAGGAAATGGAAGACTAAGCTTCAAGAACTTACCAAATAGCAAGAGGAATGAATTTCAAAGCTTGGATTAGAGAAAGATTGAGGTTTATCAATGATTTTTTGAGAAAAAGGCGGAGAGAAGTCAGAGGAACAGAGGGTTAGTCGTAACTTGGATTATAATCCAAGTTTCTTAACTTGAAAACCTTTAAATACCCCTCAACTTGCTATATTCTTGGTACAACGAGCTATCTCTTGCTACAACAAGCTCTTCTCTCGCTACAGTGAAAAAATCAGACATCATTTTCCCTTGATGTCTGTTATTTTAGCTACAGTAAGAGCTCTTTGCTATAGAGAGAGTGTTGTTGGGTCATCCTTATCCACTTCTGGCTACAGCGATGATCCCTCGTTACTGCGAAAGGGCTTCAGTGAGCTTGATTCTAGATGATCTTTTGTTTGGAGGGCAAGTGTATCCATCAAAAAATAATAAAGGGTTCTCAAATTAAGTTCCCGAAATATCGTCCCACAAGGATTGTTTTTCAATTACTAAGAATTTCCTAATTCAATTGTTTAAGCTTCAAAGATACGAGATTAATTAAAAGCAAGAATTTATAAAATCAATTATAAAACTAAGAACTAAGAGCAAGGAATACAAATGCACGTCTTGGTTGAACTTATCGGAGAGGAACCTACGGCATATGGGTTTTCTCATTCAATCCTTTATGTTATTTTTCTATTTAACTCTAAATTTGATTTCCTTGTGATTATCAATCATTCATACGAATACTATTACTACCCAATGGTCATGCAATATTAATATTCTTTTCTCTAAATCAACATCTCCAATAGTCATGCAAGACATTAATTTAAGAAAGCTTTAGGAGCCTACGAAATTGTTAATTTAATAACGATTAGAAGAGAAAGATTGATTTAGTTCACCTAATCCTTTGTCTTGTTTTACCGTATAGATCTATTAATTAACCGAGGTACGGTCGCCTAACGATATAATTAATTAGGATTAAGAGAGAAGTGCAATAGGATCAAATCTAATCACGAAATGGAAATCAAATTTAGATTCAAACATCAAAATTCCATAAATTCATGAACAATAGTTTCCATAGCCCTAGCTATGGACTTAGTTACTCATGCTAAAGAAAAGGACTAAAACAATCATAAACAAAGCCATAATCAAAAGAAATAGCAAACTAGAGTATGAGATGTGTTCCCGGTCTTCAAGTACGATCGCTTGAAGCTCCAAGTCTCACCAAGCATGTGCCAAGGATCTCATGCAAGAGAGACGAGATCAGATGTATTCTAGAGCCAAGGCCAAGATGTAAAAACGGTTCTTTTACGATGCATCAGATCTTCCCTTTTATTGGATTTGAAAACCCTAAAAACTATTCATAATTGGGCTTCCCGCAAATGAGCACGGTTGTGCAAGGCCTTAAGCACGACCGTGCATGGGCTCGAAGCATCCTCATGCTTATTGAATGGGTCTGGGCGTGCTGACTACTGCGAAGCTTAATCTTCCATCAATTTGGGCTCATAATGCACCCAAAATCTACTTGCATCCTCTTTATACCAAACTGCACAATTAATATATAAATTAGTGTAAAACCCAAATAAAATAAAGGTCAAATATGAATATATGGGCTGTAAAAGAGGGCCTAATTACAGACTTATCATCTTTCTCGCTATAGTGAGACATATCTCGCTACAGCTTACAGTGAGAAATCCTACAACTGACACACCTAAAACTCTCCAAATTTTAAACAACATACATTAACAATTCACATACAATACAAAAATAATAAAATAGCAAAATAGGGGTGTTATAATAGCAATTTTGAATATTAGTTTCTTATTTATTTATTTAAATTACTTCATTAATTCCTCAGTAAATCGCTAGGTAGCTAACTCTTTATCGTTAACAGACCTTTAAAAAATGTTAACTTTGTCATTAAGTGACAAATAAATGCTAAAATGATGTTGTTTCTCACCTTATCCTCCCTCTTTTCTCTTCTCCTCAAAGCCATGCGGTTAAGGTGATAGCTCATATTTTGTTCCCACATTTTTAGTCTTATTGCATCCTTTACATGTCTTTTCATTCCCTTATTTCTTCCATTTAATATGTTTTTGCATTTATCATGTTAATTAGGAATTTTCGTAAATACTATACTTTTATTCATGTTTTCTATTCTGACCTTTAGTTACTAATTTGGCCATAA